AAATTAATTTAAATCAATTTAAATCAATTTAAATTTATCTAAATTAAGCTAAAGTGAATCTAAACCAATTTGGGCCAGTTTAAATCAATTTAAATTAATTTAAATCAAATTAAATCAATTTAAATCAATCTGAACCAATGTAAACGAATTCAATGAGTTGGGATCGATTCAAATCAATTAACATGGATTTAAATCAATTGAAATGGATTTAAATCACTCAATTTAATTTAATTTAATTTAATTTAATTTAATTTAATTTAATTTAACTAATTAAATTGAATAAACAAACTTATGGTTTCGAGTTCCTGGTCGTATAACAACAAAAGACAAACAACCAACCAAATAACCAAATCAAAATAAAATCAAATAAAAGAAATCAAATCAACCAAACCAAATCTAATCAAATCAAATTAATTAAACTAATTAAATTAAATTAAATTAAATTAATTAATTAAATTAATTAAATTAATTAAATTATTTAAATTAATTAAATAACGAACTTATGGTTTCGAGTTCCTGGTCGTTTTCCAAGAAGAAAGTCAAATAGTGAAAAGGCACATCCACTTCCAAGTCCGCGCCGAGTCTGCGGTGTTCTTCAACTGTAGCTCTTCCTCCTAAATAAAAATAATAAATAAATAAATAAATAAATAAATAAATAAATAAATAAATGAATAATAAATGAGTGTATCTGTTGGATGGGGTTTTGTTTGGAGGTGGCTGGAGAAAAAAGGAAAAAAAACGGAGAGATACTGGCGTTTTCAGCTCTCCAAACTAAACCTTAAACCCTAGACCCTAAATCCTAAACCCTACACCCTAAAACCTAAACCCTAAACCCTGTAGCTGTGAACTTCAGGCCCCAAACCCGAGATTCTGAACCCTGAACCCAAACCCTGGCCCCTAAACCTCGACCACGGAGCCCCGAACCCCAAACCCTAAACCCTAAACCCTAAACCCTAATTGCGGACCTGAGAAGGCGAATTTGTTGATTTTTTCTGCAATTTGTTTGGGGGAATCCGAAACATAAATGCAAGTGGTGTTTTGGCTGCCACTCATTTTTGTTTTAAACCCTTGCAAAGAAGGAATAAACTTCGAATGCAAAAGCGAGGGTTTACTAAACCCTAGGCGACACGCCACGTCCCGAGTCATTCGAAAATAAGGGTCTTGGTCAATCGCCTGCACCAAACCCTAAACCCTAAACCCTAAACCCTAAACCTTAGACACGCAGCCTCCTGCCCGCAGCTCTCCACTTCACCCGCTGCAGCCTCCCTCCTAGACCCCAAACCCTAAACCCTAAACCCCAAACCCTCAACTCCAAACCCTAAACCCCAAACCCTAAACCCCAAACCCTAAACCCCAAACCCTAAACCCTAAACCCTACCTGGGGAATGAGGCAGCGGACGTGTTTGCTGCAGTGTGGCGGTCCGAAGATATCGGGGAAAGCAGCAGCAAAAGCAGGAGCTGCTTGAACAGCAGGAAAAGCAGCTTTTCCGATATTATCACTTTCATTGAATCCAAATAAACTTCGAACTTGATTATAAGTTACTTTCTTTTGAATCTGCAGAACCAGCGGGTACAGCGCGCCCATGTACTGCGTGTCTGCAGCAGCAGCAGCAGCAGCAGCAGTGGCGAAGGCAGCACTCTGCAGCAGCGCCACGCAGCAGCAGCAGCTGCTGCAGCTACTGACAAAGGCGGCAGCAGCGGCTGCAGCAGCACTGACCAGCAGCACCACCCAGCAGCAGCAGCAGCAGCAGCAGCACCCGCCAGTAGTGCCGCCAGCAGCAGCAGCAGTCAGTGCAGCCGGTAGCAGCAGCAGCAGGACTAAACAGCAGCAGCAGCAAATAACTTCAACAGCAGCAGTCACCAGCAGCAGCGGCTGCAATAGCAGCAGCAATAGCAGCAGGAGCGGCAGCAGGCTTTGAATATGCCCTAGAACCAAAGCTAAATATCCAGAAGCACAGGGCACCACAGATTAGGGTTTAGCGTCCTCGGAGACACTTTGAACAAAACAGTACAAACACACACTCTTAGTGACTAGGGTTTAGGGTTTAGGGTCTGTTACTGGTGAAAATGAAAGTCTCGTTCACGTCAAACCCGCATGCAATTATATCTTTCGCATTTTCAAAGGCCAGTTTTTGGGACTTTGCAACTAGGGTTTAGGGTTTAGGGTTTGTTACTGGTGGAAATGAAAGTCTCGTTCACGTCAAACCCGCATGCAATTATATCTTTCGCATTTTCAAAGGCCAGTTTTTGGGACTTTGCAACTAGGGTTTAGGGTTTAGGGTTTAGGGTTTGTTACTGGTGGAAATGAAAGTCTCGTTCACGTCAAACCCGCATGCAATTATATCTTTCGCATTTTCAAAGGCCAGTTTTTGGGACTTTGCAACTAGGGTTTAGGGTTTAGGGTTTAGGGTTTGTTACTGGTGAAAATGAAAGTCTTGTTCACGTCAAACCCGCATGCAATTATATCTTTCGCATTTTCAAAGGCCAGTTTTTGGGACTTTGCGACTTTGGGATTAGCAACTAGGGTTTAGGGTTTAGGGTTTAGGGTTTGTTACTGGTGGAAATGAAAGTCTCGTTCACGTCAAACCCGCATGCAATTATATCTTTCGCATCTTTCAAAGGCCAGTTTTTGGGACTTTGCAACTAGGGTTTAGGGTTTAGGGTTTAGGGTCTGTTACTGGTGAAAGTGAAAGTCTCGTTCACGTCAAACCCGCATGCAATTATATCTTTCGCATTTTCAAAGGCCAGTTTTTGGGACTTT